CTCCTCCTCCTCCTCCTCCTCCTCCTCCTCCTCCTCCTCCTCCTCCTCCTCCTCCTCCCCCTCCTCCTCCTCCCCCGCCGCCGCCGCCGCCGCCGCCGCCGGCACCTGCTTTGGGGCGACTCGATCCAGCATGCTGCGGGCTGGGCTGCGCCGCGGACGAGCGCAGCGCCATCTGCCACTGGGACCCCTGCGCCTTGCTGTTATACCTGACCTTAATGTCCGTCTCCAAGAACTGGTCCGGGTCGTTGGGGAAACAGGACCGCGGCATCTTCAGCCACGGGGGGGGGTCCTCTGCGCTTCGGGGAGAAGCGCATGCGAAGCGAATCTTGTCCCACGTCGGGTTCTCGTCGCCCATGAGCTCCAGCTTTCGAGCCCTCGTCATCCTCAGCTCCTCGCACCACCTACCCCGCAGCTCGCACCAGACGTCGAAGATCATCTTGGGTGGCCACGCGTAGTCGGCCTCGTCGTTGAGCTTCAGGAGAGCCTCGGCCTTGGCCGCAGAAGCAGGACCGGGCCCAGGCCTCTCGCTTGGCGTCCTGGAACCACTGGATCGCCGCCGTCGGGTGCCTCGGTCTGGGCTCCGGCTTGTAGTCCTTGCGCGGCTTGTAGTCCATGTCTGCCTCCGACGTCTTCGGACAGTTGGCGCAGGTGAGGCAGCAGTCTGGCAAGTGGGCGCGGCCTCGCCCCCCATGCTGGAAAGCCGCGAAGCCGCAGGCGATAGCATTGGTGATACTCGTCGGGAGCTTGCTGGACCGAAACAGGGGCCCGGAGTTCTGGCCGATCGACCTCAGCCCGTGGAACGCGTCCTTGCCCAGGAGGTCCGGGCACGAGGGAAGGTGTCGCACCCGCGCGCCATGTGCACCAGCTGTTCCTCGATCCTACCGATGCTCGCCGGCGTCCCTTTGCCCGCGCCCCTGGACTCCTCAGAGTGCTCGTTGGCTCGCCCCAGCTCTCTGACCAGATCCTGCAGCCCGATGGCCAGCTCGGTCTCGGGAACGTGGTGGGACGCTGGCGTCCTTTCGTCCATGGGCATGGGAGAAGCGCCCACGTGCCATCCTCTTGGCCGCGTGGCGGACTCCACGAACGACGGCGCCCCTGCATTCGCCCGCGGCGTGTCGGAGCTCGCTCCTCCCGAGCCGTAGGACGCGGCTGGGTCGATCCTTAGGGTTGCTTGGAGGGCCAGGGGTCTGCTGCCAGAGCCGGTGAACCCTGCGGGGCGCCGACCGGCGGCGGCGGCGTCGCAGGGAGGGGCCCGGGGGAGAAGCGGAGGCCGCTCAGCCTGCGCATGCGGCGGCGCTCCTCCTGCCGGCAGTGCCTTTTTTCCCTCGAGCTCCTTGCGCCACGTGGGGCTCGGCAGCCTCGCAGCAAACTGAGCCCGACCTCGCTGACCATGCCGTCGTGCGCGGCGTCGGCTGCCTCGATGAGCTCGGCCAGGAACTCGTGGTGACCCGTGCCGCTCTCTGCTGCCGTGGCCTTGCGAGCTGCCTCATCGGACTGGCCGGCCGCCCTCTTGGACAGGCAGTTTGGAATGGGAGCGATGCGCGGATCTCCTTTGCGCTGCGCCTTGTCCTGCTCGCGCGCCCTCTTGAGCCGCTCATCGAGGTCGTCCCGCTCGTCTCTCTCTGGAGGGGTAGCGCTCCTGCTCCTGCACCTCGATCTCCGAGCCAGGTGGTGCCTGCTCCGCTCCCGGACGATCGCCGCCGCGGACGTCGGGCTAAGGCTGTCACCTCGTTAGTTGGCGCTGCCCCCGTGGTCCGACAGCCGCAGCGTCGCCCCGGCCCTCCAGCAGACATCAGGAGGCTGAGAGCTGATGAACTCGTCGAGCAACTCATGGCGGGGTGCTGGAAAGGCTCCGTCCCGAATGGAGAAGGCGACGTTCAGCCCGAACGCCTCCACGTCCATCCTGGGGTCGTCCTCCGTGGCGTCCTTGGATGGTCCGACGCAGCGCGCGGGAAAGCTGAGCAGGCTTCTCGGCCGGCGTCTGCTCCGGCCAAGGGGTCGCGTACATGCAGCAGCCAGCCACCCGGGACGCTGGGCTGCCCTCGCGGGTGGCCGCTGGCTGGCGCTGCTCCCTCATCTCCTCCGCCTCCGGCACGCGGCTCGGGGGCGGCTTGGCGCCAGGGCTGCTCCTCTCCTCTGGCCGTGGGGTTGCAGAGCGGCCGCGCCATGGTGCCGACCTATCCACCGCGTGCACCGAGCAGACGAGGAAGCCGTCCTTCTCCGTGGTCCTATCGCGGAAGCAGTGGGCCCGAGCGCACTTCCTTTGCGCGGCCTGGGCCTCGTAAGCCTGGGCGTGGAAAGGGCAGGCCCTGAAGGTGCGCGTGTTATCTACCTCTGGCGCTTCGCGGACGTCTGAAACTGCCGTGCCCTCGACCAGCATCAAGACAGGCTCCTGCCTGGCCGAGTCCCTGCAGCCGCCTATGCACAGCACCTGGGTACCGCCGTTGGCCGCGTGCGCGATCCAGTCCGCCTCGCAGACGTCCACGCTTGGCTCGGACTCGGTCTCGGAATTTGGGTCCGTCTTCTATGCCTTGGCGGGGCCCTTCCCTGGGCGCGGATGGCGCCAGCGCTGCTTGGCGCAGCGCCGGCACGCGCGCCTAAGGATCCCGCTCAGGCCACGGCACGCCCATGAGCAACACACCCTGCCTACCATCCTCGCTCGTCCTGCTGGGTGAGCTGTGTCAAGTCCGCCATGTTGATCTGGGCGCTGTGTTCAACCACGTAAGAGGAGCAAACATGCACGAGGTTCTTCTCACTCTCGGGGAGGGTGCAGGGTATAGCTGCGCACAAGTGAACCATGCCAATGCCGTCCTCGTCCCTGGACGCTTCCAAGTCCGTCTTGAGATGACGGTGGGAGCTGCCCTTGATCTCCTTGAAGCGGTGGACGCACACGTGGCACGTGATACGGCTGGACCTGAGCGGTCCTTGCTCAAGTCTTGCCACGGAGCCCCCCGAGCAGATGATGAGGTCCTTGGGCATCATCTTCTCAGCTCCTCCTCCTCTCGCACGTACCTCGTTCTTCACGTACTGTTCGTCGACCGCTGCAGCCTCAACAGGCCCTCTGCGTGCGAGGTCGGCTCCTGGGTCTCCTTCCAGGGCCACCTTCGCGTCGTGCCGAGCCTTGCTGCCCTTGGCAAACCCTCTCACTGTGGCCGCGATGTAGGCGAAATAGCTCTAGGCAGTGCGTCGTAACCATGATATGAAGCCGTTCACCGGTCCCAAGATGGTGATGACTCCCGCACCCACAAGACCCATCGCAAGCCACTGTAGCTTTACCCAGTAGGCGTCGAAGAGGTAATGACCCATGGCGTCGACCATGCCCATGAGGAAGGAGAGGAGCTGGTGAAGCAGCGCCACGAGAACATGTCCGACGCGTACGCCTAACCACTTGAACGTGGCCTCGACCCATAAGTTGGCCAATGACATAGTGTCCGCCTTCTGCCGCACATCCTTTCCTGGGGCGACTCTCCGCTCGGCTGCTCCTCAAGCGGCGCGCCCTGCTCGCCTCCCGGCTGTGGCTCCTCAAGCGGTGGCGGCGGGGCGGCGGCATCCTTCCCTCCAGCCCTGGCCGCAGGGATTGGGCGCGGCCCCGGCCGCGGAGCTCCTTCGCCCTCCGCCCCGCGCCTCGGTGGCGCCTGCTGGGCGTCGTCCGAGCAGTGGCGGTAGCAGTGCTGGTGCCCGCCGTCTAGGCAGCCTGCCGGGTCCAGGCCCGGCGCCGAGCTCCTGGCCTCGTCAGCGCCTGTCGGTCCGCTGGGACCCGCTGGGCGCTCACCCCAGTCGGCCGTGCTGGGCATGTTTTCCACCACCGCCACCATAAGTTGGAGAGGGAGGTGGTCCTCCTCCTCCTTCTCCTCCTCCTCCTCCTCCTCCTCCTCCTCCTCGTCTTCCTCCTCCTTTCCCCCTCCAACTTATGGTGGTGGTGGTGGAAAACAAGCCCATCAGGCCGTGGCTGGCGGCGGACTCGTGGCCGGGGTGCCCGTCCAGGGCGGGGGTCGCTGCCTCGGGCTCCGCAGGCTGCGCGTCATGCCCTGTCGAAGCTAGCGGCATCTCCACGTCCTCGGCAGCGCAGCTCGGTGGGCCATCTGGGCCAGCACGTTCAGCATCATCGCCGCCTTCGCCTTCACTGTCGCCCTCGCCGTCATCAGCTCGAGCATGGCCCGCCTCGGGCCCCCTGTAGGTGGCCGTCGCGGTGAAGCCCGCATACAGCCCGACGCCCAGCGACGCGTCGAGCGACGTGAGCACCGCGAAGTCTGCCGTCGCAACACTGCACTCCAAAATGTGGAGTGGTCGCATTTCGTGGTGCTGAAGCGATGGCCTGCACTGACCGCTGCCCCGCGAGCCGCGTGACCCCCTCCTCAGGAGCCACCGCCCGCACTGGAGGGGGGACCTGGCCCTGCCGCTTCCCAGCGCTCCTCTGGGCCTGGTTGGCCTCGCCCGGGCCGACAGGCGAGCTATGGCCCCGCCCGCCCACCCCGAAAAAAGATGCCGTGGCCGCAGCGGCCACTAAAGCCAAGGGCGACGGAGGAGGACAGGAGAGAAAGAGAGAGCACTGGGCACAGCGCAGCTACGACCGATGCGAAAACCCTCTGTTCTCATGAACGTCCAAGTCTTCGTGTTTGTTGGATGCTCCTGTGCATCCTGGGGGAGATCACCCTCGAGTAATCCTATGCTTTGGGTTGCTTGGGCCAGTGGAGGATCTCATGTTCTTGAAGGAAATTTTTCTGTCCAATGCCCTCGCCCTGCCCCGCCTATACGCTAGGGGCGTTCGTTAAGGAATGCGCCCAGGGGGCTTCAGACCCTAGAGGGTTCCTTCTCTGATGAGGGCGGCGGTGATATCCATGGCCGATCCACGATTGGCGTTCCGTTGGCTTCCAGACCCTGGATTCCTTATCCAATGCTTCCTTATCCAATGCCCCCACCGTGCGTCCTCCCGAGCTGGGTGGCCCGCTGCGTTGCCTCCCCCCCCCTCCTCGCTGGGCGGCCCCCGCCGGGCGGCCGAGGCGACGCCGTCCGCGTGGCCGCCCGCGTGCGGCCGCCCTCTGCGGCCGAGGCTCCGCGTCGTCGTCGTCGTCGTCGTCGTCGTCGTCGTCGTCGTCGTCGTCGTCGTCGTCCCCTGTCATCCTCTCGTCGCGGAAAGGCCACGGCGTTTGGCCTCCTCCCATTTTTCGGTCTCCGGGTGCCCTCATCGGTCCCCAGGACCGTCAGACAAGAAAGCTTGGCATGAAGAGTGGGTCCCCGGGAAGGGGTCCAGACCTCTGGGGGGCCACGGCCTCGAACGATCTCGATGTCGGATATGTGGTTTTGCCAGGGCGCAGAGGACAGGCGGGGCGGGGGTGGGAGGGTGGTGGGGGGGGCGTCCCCTGCTTCTCGTGCTTCTCCTCCTCCTCCTGCTCCTCCTCCTCTTCATCGTCTCGCTCGGTGATGCAGCGCTTCAAAGCGCGCCGGGCCAGGCACCAGTTTCTGATGCTTGTCGTACCTTCTTCAGCTCACATTCTTGCCGCTGCGCTGCACAGTGTGCCCGAGTTGTCTCAGCACGGATGTTTGATCGTCGTTCGCGGCGCCGGGCTCCGTACGCATCACCCAAAGGATATTCTTCACTTAATCTCGATCTTCCTCCTCCTCTGTGGGGCTGGTGTGGGCGATCTTCTTTGCGGTATGTTACTTGTGGTTGGGCTGCTTCGTCATCTGCAGCTTCTTGTCACTGTGTCGATCGTCTCTGGCGTTACTGCTGATGTCGTGCTGGAGGGTGGTGAGCTCCTCGAATTTTTCTCAATCTCATTAATGTAAGTCGTTATCTGTTGCTGGTGGATCTTGGAGTGCTCGTAGTAGTCCTCCATGGTTCTCTTGTTACTATTGATCTCCCTTGCCTGCTGGGCCAGGGTCATGCTGTTGAGGACCCTCGCTTTGATGACGGCGATCTGGTGCTGTTCTTGACGATGGCAGCTGCTCATCCTGGGGCATATTGCTCGAAAGCTAGCTGATGACCCTGTCAGATGCACTGTCCTACGTCCTTTTCATGCAGACTAGCACCACAGAACTTCAAGCGAAAGCGGGGACGCCCCGGGAAAACTTGGACCGAATCAGTTTTTGCCCACGCTGTCCGCTTCGCGGGGGGTGAGTAGGCCCTGCCGCAGCTCTGGCATGATAGCGTAATTTCTGCCGCAGCCTGGCGCGCAGCCGTGGAGCGATATTGCGACGCCCTGTGAGGCCACGGCATTTGTGCTCATGTGCTTTGCACTCTTTTTTTTGTTTTTTTTTCCTCTCTCTCTCTCTCTCTCCTGTCGTCCCTCAGCTTGTGGTCGTTTGGGGGTAGTTCCCAATCGTGCCTCCTGACGGCGTAGGTTTTCCTCATGGGCATGACGTTGTTGATCGCGTTGGTGATGTGGTGATGTGGTCGTTGTAGTTGCTGTTGTAGTTCTGGCCTTCGTCCTTCTTCTTGGGCGTTTTTTCCTTGTCGAGGTGGGTGTGGCCTTTTCCCTTATTGTTCTTGTCCTTGCCCTTCTGGTTGTTGTTGGCGGGCTTTTGGTGGTCTTTCCTCCCCTTGCCGTCCTGGTGGTTCCAGGAATTGTCCGGGTGGTTGTTGGCCCACTGGTCCATCCAGTTGTGGTTCTTCCAACGCTCGAGTCCTGCACCGATGATTGATGTAGTGGGCCCCGGTGTTGTAGCTCTGGATCGTGGGGGGCTCGATGCCGATCTCCACGGTGGTTGCGCCGATCCCGATCCGCTCATAGTTGCTCTCCGTGATTTCGCCATGGTTGGAACTTGATGTTGATCTCGCGGTGGCTGTTGCGAGCTGTAGTGTTTTTGTAGTAGTCTTGTGCAGCGTGAAGTTGACGTTGCGTATGCGGATGAAGTAGTGAACGTATTGATGCCACTCGTAGTAGTAGACGTGCAGCGGCTCGACGTTCTCGCCCCCGACGGTGCCAAGCTGGTTTGGCCGAGGTAGCCGTGGTGGTACCTGCTGTGGAATTTGCGAGGTCTGAGAACCACCTGTGGGAACCCGAGATGAGGAAGTCTTCGAACCGTAGTGTAATATCGGGGGCGGTAAAGAGGGGGTTGATGACGAGTGGGGGGGTGGATATCATGGCGTGGGCCATGATATTTCCCCAGATTTCTTGGCGCCCCTTCTTATTTCATTACGTCCCTGGCCCTCCTTCCTGGGCCGCGCACATGCCGCCGGCCATGATTTGCGTCCCCCCCTCTTGGACGCCCCCTGCTTGGTCGCTCCCGATCATAAGTGAAGGGTAAGGGTACGGGCAATCGGATTGTAAGGTGGGAGGTGGGGGGAATCGTGGCCGATCGGTCGGCACACTGCCACTGACACGCCTCAATCGCTTGGCGGTCCGTGGCTTCCTCCTCCTCCTCCTCCAGCTTCGACAACGCAAGGGATCGAGCTTCGACAACGCGGTGTCTTTCGAGCGTGCGCTGATGACATCGGGGGAGTGCTTTTCGAGATGATCGATCTGAAATTCTTAGCACGCGCAACGGCGGTGGCAGCCAAGCTGGCCAGCTTGAAGCTCAAACCAGCTAAGTGTGTGATTATCCCACTGGCAGGTCCCTTCTCTGCTGAGCTTCGGCAGCGTAGCGTGTGCATGTCTTCTTGCAGCAGCAGCTCGCGGTCTGGTCCTCCTTCAAAGTTGAAGATTCTCTCCTGAACCTGGGGATTTGGATGGGGCCTGCGGCAACGCTACTTCAGTCATGGTCGGCGCCGTGGGATAAATACCGAGCTCGGGTCAGCGCCCTCGCTGCTTCTGCTGCGCCTGCGAGTCTGAATGGCATTAACTACACTACGAGATGCTTACCCATCATTGGGTATGTGGCACAATTCCTTCCGCTCCCTGAGAAGCTTAAGAGTAATGACATTCATGTGCTCGTGAAGTTGATGCGTTTCCCTGGCGGGGCATTGAGGCAAGTTGACTTTCATTCTCTTGGCGCTTGGGGTGGGCCGCGTCTACGGTGCATGGCTATATCTGCGAAGTCCGCGCTCATCCGATTTGGGATGGTCACACATCCTGAACATGCGTCGTACTTGGCTTACCTGAAAAGAACATCATCGAGATGGATTGAGGAGCGCGTCTTGGCTGACCTTTGCAGCGGACTTTCGCCTTCATTCTTGCGATTACCGTCTTTCGTCGAGTTTCTATCGGGCGCTTGCAAGGTCTCAGCGTCTTCAGGTGCCGCCGCTGTCCACCACGCACTGATCGGGGACGATTCAATCAAAAGGCGTGCCCAGCGGATTGCGTACCACGCATTATCAACTTAGTATTTCGGTGCACATCAGCCGTTGCAGTCCACTTACACATCGCCCTTGGTCACCACCCTCATCAAACGGTGGAGCAAATTGTTCCCGCAACTCGGCAACGAGATCAAGGCGCTGGACTGGGACGCCCTACGCAAGAAGTTGTCGTCATACCCTGTTGCCTGGTCCACCAGCATTATTCGTGCGTTCTTTGGAGGATGGTTAACCTCGTCTCGCATCCCATCTGCGTCTGGTGTCAAGCGGTGCCAGTTCGGGTGTTGCGACGAACGTGACGACTTAGCACACTATTGGGAATGTCGCGGGCTTGCATGGGGACTCGCTATGGTTAAGTCTGGCGGACGCCGTCACTTGCCTGCGGATGTTCTTGATCGCTGGGGTCTCGGCGGCTGTTTCGATGAAGATTTGATGAACACACATCTTGCCACTATCGCGTATCATGGTCTTCGGCACCTGCACCACGTCCCTCCCGAGCTGCTGCTCACTGCACTGAGAGGCGCAGTGCGGACACGTGCGCTGGCTTCGCCTCTGGCTGGGCGTGCCAGGATCACGCGCCGCCCACCGGAGCCATCCAATCATTCGCCTGGTATTTGTCTAAAAGTACCCTCGGTCGAGCACCCGCGGGGCATTAATCTGCTCGACATGCTCCCAATCGGACGCCGCTTCCTTCACGACACTCTACCGCATCGTGTGCGTTATCCTGTTTCGCTTGGCGAGGTCAGGTTCTCTGCTATACCGCCGAATGGAATTGGTCCTCTCATGCTGCGTCGGTTGGAACAGTTTACTACACTGCTTGAATCCTGGGCGCGGAACTGGGTCCCCTCGCTCTTCTTGGAGCCCAACGGCTGCAGTGACTTCGATGACTGGGTGCAATGGGGGACAGAGTTCTCCAGCCGTGTGTTCCAGTACTGGGCGTTCTGTGGGCTGTTCGCTACCCCTGTCGCGACGATGCAGGAGAGGTGCAACCTCGGCTCCAGCATGTGCCATGCTGCGTGGCACAGTTCGGCAGTTGGAAGGACCCGACTACTCATTCACCTATCGACAACGTGGGACACGGCCGACTCCACGCGGGTGGTGGCATTGAGGCAAGCTGCGGACGAACGTTTGCACATTCGTTGCTGGCCTCATCGTCAGGCGCACCTCGCTGTACACCCTGGCTTGCCTGATGCAATGAATGAGACATTGTGCCCTGGCAGGAATACTCGTGCGGTTGCTGAATGGCTTCCGCCGTCTTGTGGTGCCCCACTGGAGCTGGATCCACTTTTTGCTCAGGACCAGGTGATGCGTCATGTTCCGCATGGAGTGCATGGAGATCAAGGGCATCGGCGACGCCTGCTGATGGATGCTATATCACGATGGGCAGAGCAGTGGTTGCCTTCGCTATATGTTTCCTATTCTGGGTCTGACTTCCAGCAATGGATGGAATGGTGTGTTCCTCATGTGGCAGACGTACTACGCTATAGTGACTTTCGACCACTCTTCGCCACTGCGTCGAGCGGGGCCCTGGGAGCTTTGACAGGCGCCTCGGAGCGCTGGAATACGGCGATCGAATTGTGTATGAGTGGCTGGTACTCGGCAGCTATTCCCAGGGAACAAGCGCGCCTGCACCTGCGACAACCGTGGCCCGTTCATGATCATCGGCGGCTCCGCACCCTTCGGCAGCGTGCCCTCGCACATCTTCGGCAGCGGGATTGGGCTGCTGACTTGACGCGCATGAATGAAGCAGAACGGGCTGACACCCAGCGGATGCGACAGGTTTTCCCATCTGGGCCCCCGCTGTCGCTCAACCCGCTCGCGCACCTCCTGCCGCACCTCGCGCCAGAGGGGGGCGACTGCGTCGACGCCGATGCCCTGTGCCCTCCCGACGAGGACAACCGCAGCGTCGACTCCATTGGCGACCCTGAACCCACGGACATGGACATGGATCACATGGAAGCCTCTCATGGCAATGCTATGGAAATTCCACCTGATGAATATTCTCACCACTTTGGGCCAATCTTAACTGACGAGGAATTCGAAGCTCAAGTTCAGGCTGCCGTGCGCCGCTCGAGAGTGGACACAGATGGGCCGTCTGATCCGACGGCCTCATCCTCTAGGCCGCCACCCGCTTCCCCTCTCTCTCCGGACGAACGGCGCGCATCTACATCTACCAGCGACTCCGACGATGGCTTCAACGAGACAATGGCGGCGCATGGGCTTGGGGTTATCTATCCAGATTGTTCTGTGGGTGTAGCTGCGAGACGGACAATGGCGGGCCCTGCGATGGTCGCTTCCCCCACGGGGCCCATGGAGGCAGCTGCCTCTTCGGCTTCTGCTACGGCGAGTGCAAATGCCCTCAATTGCTTTCGGAGCTGGATTGCGGCGGTGCGTGAAGCCTTGTCCGCTGCACGAATAGTCTCGGGATCTTCAGAATTGCTCTCTGACAGGCAGATGGCGCGAGCTGTGGACTTCCTGAACGAGCATTTCGATCTTTCGGACGAGCAGCGGGGCCTGGTGATCTGGATGCTTCAGAACCCTGGCAGTGTACTGGGTGGTGATGAAAGTGGCGGTCCTCACCTCGAGATGCAGGGCTCGGTCAGCGCAGTTGACAGCCAAACTGGGTCTGAATTTGCCCAACACGCTCAGCTTGGGACACAAGGATCACATGTTACTCGCCCACGGGTTAATGGGCTCACCAATCGTGTTCAAGTCTCCTGGCCGTCCAACTCCGCGAGCGGGGCTCCACTACCTGCTAAGGCTCCCCATCCGCATGGGCAGCAGGATGAGCTGGCTGATGGACACGAACTACCTAGTGGTGCTGGCGAAGCTGATGACCAAGGCACAGGACGTGCTGCTCATGTTCCTGACGTACCTCTCGTTGATGAGGCTGCCGCTCCCCTTGTGTCATCGGCGGCTGCGGCTGCGGCAGACAATGGCACCGAGGCGTCTATGGAGTGCGATGAGAACACATTGGCGCTTCTCCTGGAAGGGGAGGGGGAGGTGAACGACAACTTCGCGACGGCCCAGTCTGAGGCTCTTGCTTCTGCTGTCTCTCTTGAATGCCCAGATGATCCCGATGATCGACATGCGGAGATCTCCGCAATGGTTAACGCAAACGCTGGAGTAGCTCCCTCTGTGAGTGAAGGCATTGATGCACTTCCTGCTGGCCCCGTTCCTGACGATGGGCCACTTCCTCATGACGGCGATGCCGTCGCTGGCTCGGTTCCTGTCGACGCTAGCTTCCACCTCGACGACTTCGGCAACCAGATCGTCTCTTCAGAGGATGATCTGAGGAATGGCCCCGCGCGGGCCGCGGGCGGCGTGCCCCGTGCTGCTTAGGGCAGCGATGTGGCTGGATGGGGATCCCTCCTTGAGGCGTGGGCTCCTCCTCCTCCCCAGAGGCACTGCGGCACTGGCGGCAATGGAGTCTTCAGACGCTGCCGCTTCTCCTCCTCCTCCTCCTCCTCCTCCTCCTCGCGTTCTCTGCTTTCGATTGCCGCGGCGGCGCAATTGTGGCCCCCCACGGTGTTCTCGTCGACGCGTTCGGCGGCAACCTCCGCAGCGCGGGCTCCGCGCCCGCGTGTCGCGCCGGCGCGACCTCGCACGGGCAGGCGCGCCGAGGCGGCCCGCTCCCCCTTGGGGCGCGCTGGCTCCTCCTGTGCCCTCCCCCCTCGGGCCTGCCCGCGCTGCGCGCGCCAAAGCGCGCGCCCGCGAGGAGCACCTGGCCCGAGCGCCGTGGGTGGCCCCTAGAGGACACCCCCGCTTCTCGGGTCTATTCTCCGAGGCCTAGGAGGCGCGTCCTCTCTTTCTTCTTCGTTCTCTGTGTCCGGTTGCCCTCTCAGTGTGTTGTTTTTTTCTCATTCGGCTTGTTTAAGGGGTTCTTACATGTTCTTACTTGGTTAGGAATCGTATTGTCTCGGGGTGCTACTTTGCCCGTTCTCCCGAGATTCCTCGGCTTTCTCGGGTTCCTCGGGTTCAATGCCAAGCAATGCCAAACTCTGCGCCCATGCAATAGGACCCGTATCTGGGGTCGCGCCGGGCTTATCTGAATAGAAAACTGCACAGACCCAGCGTCATGCCTGCGTCCGACGACGAGCCTCCCGAGTTCTCGAATTGCTCTAGCTGAAGACCTCGGCCAACGCCACGCGCCCTCTAGAGCCAGTTATGTGTGTTTTGACGCGTGTTCAGACTGCAGCCAGGACAGTGTGCTAAGGACAACTTTGGGTGCAGCGTTGGCTCTGGTTTTCGGGGGGGGTCCCCAGGTACGGGCCAGGGAACTTAATCGTGGCGAGACACGCGCTGGCCAGAGAAACACTTCGTTCCTTTTTCTGCCTTCTCTGAGGTAGCACGATGACTGTACGGCAAGTTACAGCATTCTCGAATTCCTGACTTTCCTTGGTCCTCTTTAGTGCCGTGAACGATTCCGACGTGGAGGAAGGGGGGAGCGACGACAGGCAGAGAAGGAGAAGGCAGAAGGGCTGGAGAAGGATGGAGTAGGATGCCCAGACCTTCTGGGACTCGAGGACATTGGTTTTCATTATTTTCTGCGTTTTGCCGCCTTCGAGGCCATTTCCCGGCCCTGGGGCCTTCAGGAAATTGCTCGGGATGAAGCCGTCGACGCAGGGAGGGGTCGAGAGGTCCGGGGCCCCGCGACTCGAGAATATCGCTTCTGTGCAAGTATGGATTCCCCGCTCTGGTCCCCCCGAGCGCGGCCCAGGTCCAGGAGTTTGCTCCGCGCGCGCGCATGCGCTCCCACCTTCCGGTTGCGCATGGTTGAATGGTTGTGGTTTAGGTCGGCTCTTTGTTTTCCTCCTCCTCCTCTTCCGTTTCTTCCTCCTCCTCATCCTGTCGTCGATCGACACCCTTCATTTTCTTTTTTCTCTTGATGCTCTTTTTTCCCGTCCTTGCGAGGCAGACGACGACCTGTGCCTCCACTGCGGGGCGGACGGGAAATCCTGCACGATAAGGGTGGACAGATCATCTCGGAGGCGGGATCAGGAGAGCAATGCCCAATAATGATATAATGAAAGAGCGAGGGGCATAACTTTTGCATTCGAAGAATGAGAGAGGGAGTGCGAGAGAGAGAGAGAGAGAGAGAGAAAGAGAGAGAGAGAGAGAGAGACAAAGAGCGAGAGACGAGAGGTATACACATATATGTATATATACACATACGTATACATATGTATATATAGATATACGTATGATATATGCAGACTTGTATATGATACATACATAAACGTGTACATATACACATACGTATATGTATATATGAAAGAGCGCCAGTGGATCCCCCGTAATTGAAAAGGGTGTGTGTGTGTGTGCTCGCAGAACCCCTCCCCTCCAAAGGGGAGGGGAAACTTCGGACCCACCCCCCCTTGAAAGGGGGGGAGGATTTTGAACCCCGCCCCGCTTCCTTTGAAAGCGGGGGGGGTCTGGACCCCCCCGTTTCCCTTTGCGCTGGAAAGGGCGTGCCGATTTCGGACTCTCCCCCCTTTACGCCAGACAGGGGGCCGGGGAGGAGCCTCTCCCGCTTCTCTTTTCTGCGCAGGAGAAGGTGGGGTGAGGATTAGGGTTTAGGGTTTAGGGTTTCGGGTCAGGGTTTAAGCTAGGGTTTTGGGGTAGGCGTTAGGGTTAGGGGTGTGGTTAGGGTTAGGGGTTAGGATTCGGGTAGGGGTTAGGGTTAGGGTTTAGGGTTTACGGCTTGTAGTGGTTAGGTTTGGGGTTCGGGGTTAGCGCTAAGGGTTAGGATTAGGGGTTAGGGCTAGGGTAGGGGTTCGGGTCAAGACGCCCTCCCCGCCCGCAAGCCGTCTCGCTCACTCCCACCCGCCCTCCCAATACATACGTAGCACCCGAGCCTGGCCCGAGCCGCAGCATATGCAGCAGTCGTCTTTGGATGGGCAGCTACTGGGGGCCAATGCGCCGCCGCCGCCCGCCGCCGCCGCCGGCGCCGCGCCGCCGCCGCCGCCGCCGCCGCCGCCCCTGTCTGCCGCCGCCGCCGCCACCGCGCCGCCCGCCGCCGCCCGCCCCCCCGCCGCCGCCCCCCGCTGCCAAATCGCCGCCGCCGCAGCCGCTGCCGCCGCAGTCGCTGCCGCCACCGCTGCCGCCGCCGCCGCCGCCGCCGCCGCCGCCGCCGCCCCCGCCGCCGCTTCCGCCCCCGCCGCCGCCACCCCCGCAGCCGCCGCAGCGGCTGCCCCCGCCGCAGCCGCCGCCGCCGCCAAGTGTACTCTGTATTGTTTTTTGACAGGGTTGGTGGGGGGAGGCCGCATCGGGTTCGCTGCGCATGCTCCGAATTTGGAGACAGTGTCTGTTTGTATTGCTTGTTTTATAAGGGATGGTGGGGGCAGAGTGTGTGTTTGTATTGTTTTTTACAAGGGATGGTGGGGGGGTGCCCGCATGGACCTGGGTTGGCTCCCAGTCGCCTGGGGGAGGGGGTGTTTATTAATAGGGAACAGTGATTTAGGGTTAGGGTTTAGGGTTTAGGGCTCGTAGTGGTTGGGATTAGGGATTCGGGGTTGGGTAGGGTTTAGGGTTAAGGTTAAGGGGTTCGGTTAAGGGTTTAGGGTTAGGGGTTCGGGTTCACGGTTTAGGGTTGGGATTTAGGGTTTAAGGTTAGGTTCAGGGTTCAGAGCTTACACTGCAGCCCCCTTGGCATCCCTGAGGGCCACCGAATGCGAGCGGGCACGCACGGAACTGCATTTGGAGCCCTCGGCCGTCCCACAGCGTGCGTACCCGGTCGCGTTTGGCGGCAGCGCACTCTCAAGGGCGTGAGGGTACCTTGTTTAACGGCGAACTTAGGGCCCCTGGTTTGCCGTGAAACACGGCACCCTTACGCCCCTGAGAGTGCGCGGACGCAATGGGACGGCCGAGGGCTCCAAATGCAGTTCCGTGCGTCCCGCTCGCATATGGCGGCCGCGCGCTCAGCGTCGCGAGGGTGCTTTGTTTTACGGCGAACTAAGGGGCCTCAGTTCGCCGTGGAGCACGGCACCTTTACGCCGTTGGGAGTGCGCGGCCACCATCGGCGAGCGTGCACGCACGCTATGGGACGGCCGAGGGCTGTAAATGTAGTTTTGTGCGTGCCCGCTCGCATTTGGTGGCCTTCAGGGATGCGGCGGGGATCTGCGCTCTAGGGTTTAGGGTTTAGGTTTAGGGGTTAGGGTTGGGGGTTAGGGGAAGGTTTAGGGTTAGGGCTAAGGGTCACGGTTAGGGGTTAGGGTTTTGGGTTTAGGGTTAGGGGTTAGGATTAGGGTTCGGGTTCAGGGTTTAGGGTTGGGGTTCGGGTTAGGGGTTAGGGTTAGGGTAGGGGTTAGGGTAGGGGTAAGGGTTAGGGTTACGAGTTAGGGTTAGGGTTAGGGGTTAGAGTAGGGATTGGGGTTCGGGTTTAGGGTTTATGGTTAGGGTTAGGGGTTCGGGTTGAGGGTTCGCATTATGGGTTGGGGGTTAGGGGTTGGGGTAGGGATTGGGGGTTAGGGGTAGGGGTCAGGGTAGGGGTTCGGGTTAGGGGTACGGAGTATGGGTAGGGTGTAGGGATGCGGATTAGGGGTAAGGGTTAATGGTTGGGGCTCGGGTTTAGTGTTAGGGTTTAGGGTTCGGGGTTAGGGTTAGGGGTTAGGGTTAGGTTTAGGGATTCGGGTAGGGGTTAGGATTAGGGTTAATATTAGGGTTTAGGGCTCGTAGTGGTTAGGGTGAAGGGCTTGGGGTTAGGCTAGGATGTTGGGGTTTTAGGGTCGTAGTGGTTAAGGTTGGGTTTAAGGGTTTACGGTTCGGGGTTAGAGTTACGGTTCGAGTTCGGGTTAGGGGTTAATGGTTAGGGGTTAGTGGTTAGAGGTTAGGATTAGTGTTTAGGGTTTGAGGTCAGGGTTAGGGTTAAGGGTTCAGAGGGGTTAGGGTTATGGGTCAGGGTAGGGCTTAGGGTTCGGGTTAAGGGTTCAGGGTGAGGGGTTAAGATGGGGGCCAGGGTTAAGATTAGGTAGGGTCAGGGTTTTGGGGATCAGGGTTAGGGGTTCGGATTCGGATTAGGGCTAGGGGTTCCGGTTGGGGTTAGGGTTAGGGGTGAGGGTTAGGGTATGGGTTAGGGTAGCGGTTAGGGTACGTGTTAGGGTTATCGTGAGGGTTTAGGGTTAAGGGTTAGAGTAGGGATTAGGGTTAGGGTTTAGGGTTTACGGTTAGGGGTAGGGGTTCGGGTTTAGGGTTTGGTGTTATGGGTTAGGGTTAGGAGTTAGAGTAGAGGTTAGGGTAGAGGTTAGGGGTTAGGGTTAGGGGCTAGGGTTGGGGTTGGGCTTTAGGGTTAGGGTTTAAGGTTTGAGTTAGGGTTTAGGGTTTATGGTTAGGGTTAGGGGTTCGGGTTTAGGGTTCGGGTTATGGGTTAGGGTTAGGGGGTAGTGTAGGGGTTGGGGGTTAGGGTCAGGGGTCAGGGTAGGGGTTCGGGCTGGGGTACGGAGTAGGAGTAGGGTGTTGGGATTCGGGTTAGGGGTAAGGGTTATGGGTTGGTGTTCTTAGCGGGTCCCGGAATCAGGAAATATTTCGAATTTCATATGCAAGCGATGAAGAAACTGCTGTGGTCAGGGTACCCTGGGTTTCTTCGTTTCAAGCCGAACTGCTTGAAACCCAACCCTGGGTCAAGAAGCCTCGGCGCATCTCAGGGTTGGGTTTCTTGCGCTGGGTTTCTCGTGGGCCAATTTCCAGTGCAGTCCCGGAGTGCGGAGCGCCAGGGTGGTCGCGGGGACATCGGCCCGGCAATCCGATGTGACCAGGCTTCCTTGAATCCTCTATGTGCCCTGAAGCGCCGGGGGAGGAGGAGGATGATGATGATGATGAGGAGGAGGAGGAGGAGGAGGAGGAGGAGGGAGGAGTAGGAGGAGGAGGAGGAGGAGGAGGGGGAGGGGGGGAGGGGGAGGAGGAGGAGGAGGCGGAGGAGGAGGAGGAGGAGGGGGAGGAGGAGGAGGCGGAGGAGGAGGAGGAGAGGAGGAGAAGGAGGAGGATGAGGAGGAGGGGGAGGGGGAGGGGGAGTCATTGCCCCCCTTATTGTTTTGATATTTGTTTGAGTTCCTACATCCCGCGCCTCGACTGCCGTGGGAGTCAACCAGCCGCCAGGCACTGGTCGCGCTCCCTCCTCCTCCTCCTCCTCCTCCTCCTCCTCCTCCTCCTCCTCCTCCTCCTCCTCCTCCTCCTTCTCCTCCTCCTCCTCCTCCTCCTCCTCATCTCTCCTCCTCCTCCTCTCCTCCCTCTCCTCCTCCTTCTCCTCCTCCTCGTCCTCGAAAAGCATTCCAGCTATTCAAGGCGCCGTGAACAAAAAAGCTTCATGGCAGCTCATGGTGGATGCGTCTTGTTCGCATACAGCCCGCGAGTAACTTCCCACCACGGCGTCGGAGGAAAAACGTGTGGAAGGGGGTCGCCTTGAAAGGGTACCTGTGCGCTTTGGGGTATCGCTCTTTGCTCGGATGCTTGGCTGCTTCCCTGAATGCCCCATGTCAGACACGCGCTCTGCATCATCCTGTCGCTCCTCTCAGATGCACGCTCCCCTGCATCCTGCTGCTCCTCCTTTTCATCTTTATCGGCATCTTTCTCCCCCCTTTTTCCATCACGGTCATAGCAGGGCCAATGCTGATCCGATCTGCCCGATTCGATTCTGATATTCCCGCGATCCGATGCGGCCCCTTGCTTGTGTGGCGCGGTTGTCTCGCACAGGTATTCCGATTCGATTCCGACTACGTGTCGACGTAGTCCGATTCGCCGCGCATCATTACCCCCCCTGGCCGCCTTGCGCCCGCCGCCTCTCCTCAATCTCCTGCTCCTCATGCTCGTCGTCGTCGTCGTCCTTATCATCTTCGTTCTTGTCCTTGTCGTTCTCCTTCTCCTATCCCTCCCTTTTCCCCTTTTTCGCCCTCCTTCTCGTCGTCGTCCTCCTCCTCACTCCTCCTCCTCCTCCTCCTCCTCCTCCTCTCTCCTCCTCCTCCTCCTCCTCCTCCTCCTCACTCCTCTTCACCCCTCCTCTTTCTTCGCCTCCCTCCTCCCTCCTCCTCCTCCTCCTCCTCCTCCTCCTCCTCCTCCTCCTCCTCCTCCTCCTCCTCCTCCTCCTCCTCCTCCCCTTCCTCGCCTCCTCGTTCTTACCATCGTCCTCCTTGTCCTCCTCCTCCTCCTCCTCCTCCTTGTCCCCGCCCCGCGCCGCCCAGCACATCGCACTTTTCCGAGCATGTTGTTCCCAGCCCTCCGTTGCCGGCTTCTTGCTTGGAGTTGAGCACAGTGGTCGCGTCTCTTTCTTCCTCCTTCCCGCCTCCTTTCGTGTCTGTCTGTCTGTCTCTCTCTCTCTCTGGGGGTGGGGGGGGGGTGGGGGCCCTACCCAGATTCAGATTTGATCTCGCCATCCCTGGGGGGCTGTGATCTGCGAAACTGTCGCCACTTTCGAGGGCTTCTGGGGGTCCATCACAGTGGGGCCATACTCAGCTTCAGATTAGGCCTCGCCCCCCCCCTGGGGAGCTGCGATCTGCGAAGCTGTCACCACTTTCGCCACTTTCGGGGGCTGCTGTGGGGGCCAGCAAAGAGGGGTCATGCCCAAACTCAAATGAGACCTCGCCACACCTTGGGGGCTTCGTTCTGCGAAACTGTTGCTTCTTTCGAGGGCTGCTGGGGGGCCAGCATAGTGGGGGCCCCACCCAGTTTCAGGTTGTAGGCCTCGCCACCCCTGGGGGGGTTCGTTCTGCGAAACTGTCGCCATTTTCCCCCTACTGATGTTTCAAGTTCCCCATCCTCGCCCCGGCCGAGTGCTTCGCACCGCTCGCGGGGGCGACGCTGAAGGCCGCGCCCGGGGGCACGAGCGTGGCCCGGCTCGCCGAAGAGGAGGAGGAGGGCGCTGCCGAGGAGCCCGAGGAGGAGGGCGCCGCCGGAGCCGGTCCGCCCCGAGCTCCCCAGGCCGTGGTGCCGCGGCCCCGCGCAGTGCCTCAGCATGTCCGAGTACACGTATCGGAAGCCCCTGAGCAAGTTCGGCAATCAGTTCCGGCTGAAGATGAGCAAGTTCGGCTCCAAGCCGAGCGCCTTCCGTATCTGAGCTGCGCTGGACAAGGCCACCGCCCTGCACTCCGACAAGTACTTCGAGAAGGTGGGCTGGTGGCAGCCTCACAGGGAGATCGACGGCGCGCGGTTCATGAGGATCAAGTGCGACCGCGTCTGCCACTGGCTGAGGAAAGCAGCGCAACCTACTGATCAGGTTGCAAGCTTGCTGGATATGGTTGGTATCATCCGCAGGACCAGAAAGTTCTCCCTGCGGGGCGAGTGGGAGTGGTGCGTCCCAGTGGACGCTGGCCCAGAGGCCTCGGAGGGCTGGTCGTACGACGGCCCGCACCTGGTGAACCGGAACAACAAGCCCTTCTGGAACCCGAAGTGGGAGCGGAAGCAGACGATGGTCGGTGAGCGACCGCTGGTCGAGCGCCACGGTTTCACCGGCTACCAGAAGATCCCAATGGATGAGGATGTCGTGAACGAGCCGCTCACTGACTCTGTGCTTTACCGCGCGTTTCCCAACGTTCGCATCCCCGGGTTCATGCAGACCAAGGGATGAATGCCTCCCAGGGGCCAGGCGTTGTGGCTCTCAGGGGTCTCTTGCCGATCTGTCGGCGACGGACCACTGGTTCCGGATCATCGCTCGGGCGGCCCGCTCCGCTCCCAGCGACCAGACCCTGTGCGGTGCTCGCACGGTGCTGCTGCGCATCCTGGCACGGCTGGTCCAGAGAAGGAGGAGGAGGAGGAGGAGGAGGAGGAGGAGGAGGAGGAGGAGGAGGAGGAGGAGGAGGAGGAGGAGGAGGAGAGGAGGAGGAGGAGGAAGGAGGAGGAGGAGGAGGAGGAGGAGGAGGAGGAGGATGAGGAGGAGGAGGAGGAGGAGGAGGAGGAGGAGGAGGAGGAGGAGGAGGAGGAGGAGGAGGAGGAGGAGGAGGATGGAGGAGGAGGAGGAGGAGGAGGAGGAGGAGGAGGAGGAGGAGGAGGAGTGAGGAGGAGGAGGAGGAGGAGGAGGAGGAGGAGGAGGAGGAGGAGGAGGAGGAGGAGGAGGAGGAGGAGGAGGAGGAGGAGGAGGAGGAGGAGGAGGAGGAGGAGCGAGGAGGAGGAGGAGGAGGAGGAGGAGGAGGAGGGGAGGAGGAGGAGGAGGAGGAGGAGGAGAGGAGGAGGAGGAGGAGGAGGGAGGAGGAGCGGAGGAGGAGGAGGGAGGAGGAGGAGGAGGAGGAGGAGGAGGGAGGAGGAGGAGGAGGAGGAGGAGGAGGAGGAGGGGAGGAGGGCGGCCCGATCTGACGCACGTTCCGATCCGATGCGGCTCTCCGACCTGGTGCTGACCGACGTTGGGTTTGGCCAGCGCCGCGGCACGGAGCGTGTCGCGCCCCTTTTGGCCCGCTCGTGCGGGCGCCTCGCTTCTGGGCACGCGCGAGGCCTGCGCCCCTCCTCCCCTCCTCCCTCCTCCCTCGCTCGCTCCTCCTCCTCCCTCTCCTCCTCTCCTCCTCCTCCTCTCCTCCTCTCCTCCTCATCTCCTCCTCCTCCTCACTCTCCCTCCTCCCCTCCTCCTGTCCTCCCTTCCTCCTTCTCCGCCGCCCTCCTCCCTCCTCCTGTTCTCCTCCTCCTCCTCCTCCTCCTCATCCTCCTCATCCTCCTCTGGGCCAGCTGCTAAGATTCCTAGGCTGACAACCTTGGACCCAACGGGGGGCTCAAAGCACCCCACGCATGCAAGTGCAGGTTTGCTGCCTGACTCCCCTTATGACGGTCGACGCCGCCAACTCGGGGATTAGAGGTGCTCAAGGCTGCTGGTCTTGGAGCCTCTGGCCCGCAGAAGGCAACTCAACACCGCCATCATCCATGCCTGCCTTGGGCCATCCTGGGCCCTAGGATGGAGCTAAAACCCCCTGGCTTGCTTCGGCCAGGAGGGCATGCGGTCGTGACCGTTAGCTTAGCGTGTCGCGCCGCCGGTCCTGACAGGTGAGGATGCTTCGCTCGTTTCTAATTCTCGTGCGACAGAGCCAGGTTGTGCGACTATGACGTCCAGGAGTTGTGTGTCGATCGATTTCTCGGTATTGAAGGCAATTCTGAGTGTTTTACCCTTCTGGCATTTTGTCTCCATCCCGAGGCCAATACCCCGTGGAGCCGCGCAGAGCCAGAGACTGACAAACCACAGAGTGATGATTGCCGTGCCCCTTTACCCTCCCGCTGTGGGCCAAGACCCCCTCTCTCCACCCATTTCCGCCGCATCCCGCCCCCACACTCGGGGCCCCATCCCCCCATTCACCCCCCCTTCGATGCCCCCGCACCCGCTCGCCTTCCCGCCCTGTCCTCCCCCCATCCCCCCTTCTCCCTCCGCAGACGTCCGACGTCGCACTTCAGCGTGGCTCCCAAGAGGCCTGGACTCCTTCCCGGGGGCCCGATTTTCCAGCCGGGTGGGTTCTGGATGGCCCCGGGGCCCGGTGAGGGCACTCGGAGGTCGACGTGTTCCCCGACGCGAGGAGGCCGGGGTCCGCCGCTGCCCCCCGCCGGCCCCGTCCCCGAATGCCGCCTCCGCCCGGGTTTGCACTCGCCCGGGCGAGGGCCCGTGGCGAGCGCGTCCCGGCAGAGCCGGGCGCTCCTCGCCGAGCCCAGGCGGGAGCTGACCTTTGGCTTCGACAGCGTGTTTCCGCCGGCCGCCACCCAGGACGGGGCGGGCAGCAAGCCAGCGCCAGCGAGGCGGGCTTCCCGCGAGGGGTGCTCCGGCAGCGCGTGCAGGAGGGCGGCGAGCATGTGGCAGGAGAGAGCAGCTCTTTCGCGCGGGGAGGCGCAGGACAGTGGCAGGACGGCGCCCGCCTCCAGCATCGATCCGAAGTTCCCGTCTACCGAGTACCCATCAGGGTGGCGCGGAGCGAATGGGCCAGCAATGAGACGGATCGTGAAGGTGGTTGTGGCAGTGCCGGCAGCGATTGTGCCGGTGACGACGGCGGCGACTTACAACCTCCTCTGCCCCTGTGGCCCCGCAGGAAGAAGTCTACGCTGCTGTTGCGCAGCCTATCGTCGATTGCGTCCTGAGTGGCTTCGACGGAGCCATCCTCGCCTACGGCCCAACAGGCCCCCGCAGGGCGCCGCTGGCCGAGAGTAGGGCCAGGACCATCCATGCCACGAAGCATGCACTAGTACGATTGCTATTGTTGTTCGGATCATCCGGAGTAGTACCAGTAGCAGCAGTAGTGGTAGTGGTATTGGTAGTGGTAGTGGTAGTGGTAGTGGTAGTGGTAGTGGTGGTGGTAGTGGTAGTGGTAGTGGTAGTGGTAGTCGCAGTAAGCTCGGGGGTGGTGCCCCCCCAGACGACGAGGCGGCGGAGGAGGAGGACAGGGCGACCTAGGGCTAGGAGAAGGAGGAGGAGGAGGAGGAGGAGGAGGAGGAGGAGGAGGAGGAGGAGGAGGAGGAGGAGGAGGAGGAGGAGGAGGAGGCTGGGGAGGAGGAGGAGGAGGAGGAGGAGGAGGACGAGGAAGAGGAGACGATGAGGAGGAGGAGGAGGAGGAGGAGGAGGAGGAGGAGGAGGAGGAGGAGGAGGAGGAGGAGGAGGAGGAGGAGGAGGAGGAGGAGGAGGAGGAGGAGGAGGAGGAGGAGGAGGATGAGGAGAAGCTGGAGGAGATGGAGGAGTAGGAGGAGGAGAGCAGGAGAGCTTGGCGCCTCCGTGTGAAGATATCAGAAAGGTCTTGACAAGGGCCGGCGACCCGGCAGCGACCCGGCGACCCGGCACCCAGCACCCGGCACCCGGCACCCAGGACCCGGCGACCCGGCGACCCAGCGACCCGGCGACCCGGCGACCCAGCGACCCGGCGACCCGGCACCCGGCACCCGGCACCCGGCACCCGGCACCCGGCACTTGCCGACCCGGCACCCGGCGACCCAGCACCCGGCACCCGGCACCCGGCGACCCGGCACCCGGCACCCGGCACCCGGCACCCTGCACCCGGCACCCGGCACCGGGCACCCAGCACCCGGCGACCCTGCCATCCTGCGACCCGGCACCCGGCACCCGGCACCCGGCACCCGGCGACCCACCCGGCACCCGGCACTCCGCACCCGGCGACCCGGCGACCTGGCGACCCAGCGACCCAGCGACCCGGCACCCGGCACCCGGCACCCAGCACCCGGCACCTGCCGACCCGGCACCCGGCGACCCGGCACCCGGCACCCGGCGACCCGGCACCCAGCACCTGGCCCCCGGCACCCGGCACCCATTTAAAGGCTGGAGCTTCTTATGCTACTTAAGCTTAGCGCTGAGTACCTCAAGTAACTTAGGCTACTTACCGTTGCAAGTTAGTGTTACGTACTAAGTTACTTAGTAAGTTACTTAGGGTTTCATATCTAAGTTACTCATGTGCTTCTTATAAGTACCACTAACTTTTTTAAAGGAGGAGGGCGAGGAGGAGGGGGAATGCGAGGGCGCGCGGCCAACTCAGCCGTTGTTCGCGGGCTTCTTCAGCGCAAGCGCGCCGCGTTATTATCCTGCTTCTTCTTCTCCTTCTTCTCCTTTTTCTCCTTCTTCTTCTCCTTCTTCTTCTTCTTCTGTTGCCTCTCCTCCTCGCGCCGCGTCGCCGCCTCCAGCGCCGCCAGCGCCGCGTCGCGCTCCTGGAGCGCGATCTCCAGCTCGCGCTCGGCCTCGTTCAGCCACTGGTCCAGGTCGCGGACCTGCTGCAGCAAGCCGCGGTCGATCGCCTAGGCGAGGAGGAGGCGGGGGAGGAGTAGAAGGAGGTGGAGAAGGAGGAGGAGGAAGGCGAGGAGGAGGAGGAGAAGGAAAAGGGGGGGACGACGAGGGAAAGGAGGAGCAGGAGGATGAGGAGGAGGACGAGGAGGAGGATGGGAGGGGGAGGAGGAGGAGGAGGAGGAGGAGGAGAGGAGGAGGAGGAGGAGGAGGAGGAGGAGGAGGAGGAGGAGGAGGAGGAGGAGGAGGAGGAGGAGGAGGAGGAGGAGGAGGAGGAGGAGGAGGAGGAGGAGGAGGGAGGAGGAGGAGGGAAGAGGAGGATGAGGAGGACGAGGAGAAGGAGGAGGAGGAGGAGGAGGGGAGGAGGAGGAGGAGGAGGAGGAGGAGGAGGAGAGGAGGGAGGAGGAGGAGGAGGAGGAGGAGGAGGAGGAGGAGGAGGAGGGGAAGGAGGAGGAGGAGGAGGAGGAGGAGGAGAAGGGGAGGAGGAGGAGGAGGAGGAGGAGGAGGAGGAGGAGGAGGAGGAGGTGGGAAAAGGATAAAGGAGAGGTCGATGGGGGGAGGAGGAAGAGGATGAATAATAATAAGAAGAGAGCGATCGCTATCGCTGGATTGGAGGGGGGCGCGGGGCCTCCCGCACAGAGCGCCAGTGCGACAGCTCGGCCTGCTGCTCGCGGTACCGCGCGACAAGCGCGACCAGCTGGCCCTCCATCGCAGCGGCCCGCGGAGCGCCCTGTCCTGCCCACCCCCCCTCGCCTCCTGCAGCGATCGCCATCGCTATCGTGATTCCTCCCCTTTCTCCTCATCCTTCCCTCGTCGCCGTCCTCCTCCTACGCCTCCTTCTAAAGCGGTCGCCGCCGCTCCGCCCAGGCGATCACCATCGCCCCCGCCATCATTCAAGCGATCACCATCGCTCCGCTCCATATCGCGCATATCCTCTCATTCCTCCCCCCCGTAAGCGGTCGCCGCCGATCCGCCCAAGCGATCCCCATCGCTCGCCCCTCACCCGCCTCCTCTTCCTCCTCTTCCCTCATTCTCCCACTCTTCCTTCTCCTCCCCCTCCCCCCTCCTCCTCGTCAAGCGGTCGTCACCGCTCCGCCCAAGCGATCCCCATCGCTCGATCCTCATCCTCTCCCTCCTCCTCCCCCCCCCTCCCCTCCCCCACCCCCATCCTCCTCCTTCTCCTCCTCCCGCCGCCCTCCCCCTCCTTCTCAGATCCCCCCTCCAGTTAAAGCGGTCGCCACCGCTCCGCCCAAGCGATCACCATCGCTTCCCCCGCTCCCATCAGCCTCCTGCGCATCAGCGGCGCGGCGCGTCCTACCTTTTTTTAATCAGCAGCGGGCGTGCGCAATGGTATATTCGCCCTTGCGCAAGCGCCGCGCCCAAACCGACGCCGTCAGGTCGGCGTCGGCGAGCTTGATCACGAGGAGATCGTTGATCACGCGGCCAGTGCTAACGCCGCTGCCGCGCGCGTGGATCTCGATCCCGCGCGCGACGATGTGCAAGTCGCCCGAAATGGCGGCCCGCGCGTCCACGACGAAGCACTCGCCACCGCGCGAGCGAACGATCTCGCCTGCTTTGAACTGGGCCCCCTCCCAGCGCAGCGACAGCGCCACGGAGACCTCGACTGCCCCGATCGCGGAGCGCAGCTCTGGCGAGTCAACCATCGGCGGCACCGGCGCGTTGCCAGACGGCCCCATGCCCCTGAGCATCCGCAACTGGTGCAGGACAGCGGCCCCGAAGACCGTGCGCTCGAATTTGGAGCAGTTCGTCGCGGACTCGGCGATGCCCTTCGCCACCTTGTTGTGCCGCTCAGTGACGAAGCAGTCGAGCTGCTTGGGCTCCCGGTCAGCGTTGTGGCGTTCGATTGCGACGGGTGGTGTTGGAGGGGGCGCCCTCAAACGCCCCCAGCTCAAACGCAACGCCCGCGGGGGGGGGGGGAGAGGTGCGCTTTGGGGAGTTCCTGCGCCGCGTTGTGCAACACGTAGTGGTGCTTCGGCTTGGCGAAGCGGGAGCCGTGCACCCGCTGGTGGAGGTCAATATGGACCTCTGCCAGCGCGATGAACTCCTCATTGGTTGGGGCGGGAAGCCCGCGCTTGGCCCGCAGGAGTGCGTCCGCCATCAGGCAGCACGCGCGGAATGAATCGAGCTCGCGCTCGAGCGACGGAATGTCGGCGACGCGCTCCTCGGCGCACGCCATCAGGATGTGCAACAGGGAGATCAGCTCGCTTGCTCCAGATTTGAACGACTTCTGGCACGCGGTCTCGTGCCCAGTCGTGAACGCATGCCGCGTCGCCGACGAGCCGCCAGTGCACGACCAGCAACGCGCGTACTTGCGCCAGTCGGCGAACGACATGCCAGCCTTCCTTTTGCACGCGCCCAGGAAAGCGAACACTTCCCAACCGATGATGCCCTTGCTCCAGAGGTTGTGCATTGAGTCGTACATCAACGATGACGGTCGCACCGCGCTCCGCAGCTCGCGATCGTCAAGCAGCGCATTAGCGTGGTAGTTAAACCCGCTGGCGACCTCGAGCTTCTTGAACTCGGTCGCTGGCATGTGTCCAACCTGCGCGGCGAGCTCGTCCCAGAGCCCCCACGCCTCGTCGTCCGACTGCGCGTCGAAACGCGCGAAGTCGTGGCAGCAAATGTCGACGAAATAGTTGTCGACGTCGCCCGCGACGCGGGCTCCTTTTTCTGATGGCGTTCTTGCGTCGCATGCACGGCCGCCAACCGTTGGCACCTTTCATGCTGAATACTCCCTTGTGGGCGTCCATGTCGGCGAGGATCTTGCGCTGGCGCGCCCGAGTCAGCGCCGAGGCGCCGTCGGCCACGGGCGCGCGCTCGCCAGCAGTGGCCAGCCTGCTTGGAGCGAGGAACATATTCCTCAGGAGGAGCCGAACGACGCAGCTGATGCCGCCGTTCACGCCGTTGGCGACCTTCGAGCGCAGGGCGCCACATGGAAGCCACACCTCTTGCCTGTGTATCATGTCGGAACCAAGCTCCAGGAAGCTGAAGAATAGCATCCATAATTTTCGGTCGTGCCGCGGCGCCAGCGCGTCGCCTGGCGTGATCTCGTCCAAGTATAACGCCAGTGTGAGCGGTATGCCACCTTCAACCGCCCGCTCGATAATCGCCGCGTATTCGGAGCTCTCTCGGCACACGTGCCACAACAAGTTGCCGACATTACCGACGTGCCAGTTGAACGGCTTCTCAGCCTTGTCGGCCATTGGGAGCTCGATCGACGTGCCGACGGCGTCGTAAGCCTCGGCAACGGCGGAACTGACCGCATTGCGAGATATCGATGCAGCACGATCTGGGTCATCCGCGAATTGCTTCGCGAGGCGCACGAGTGCCCTGGCAGTGGTGCCTGGCGCGGCGACGAGCTCGCCCAATCGGCGAC